AGGTGTTTTTTTTATTTTCATTTAAACTGGTTAATGTAGCTTGCAAATTTTAAATTCTAAATTAACCAATGAAAATTCAGTGAAATGTCCTTTCCTCGAAAGGAGCTTGTTTAATAATTGTGAAGTATATTTAATGCTGAAATACCCCCTGAGTTTTATATATTATTTAAGTTTAAAGTGTCTGGATTGTTTAACGGTACAGATGAAGCACTGTGGTGCTTATGTTCATTTTGCTGAATAATGGTTGGTTCCTGATATTTTGTTATCACGGTCCCAGTGTCTTCCTTGGTAGTACCACTAGCTCCCTGGAAGTGAGGGAAGGACTGAATTTTGCGTTTATCCTCATCTGCCGGGGTTAATAAATTTCTGAAATGTTTGGGCTTTTTTTCATCTTGAATACATCAGTCACTATAGCCAGGTCCGCTTTGTCTTGTGCTATCATGAAAATTGTTCCTCGCAAGGGGAAAAAAGCGGCTGTGCTGTCGGAGCCGGGCACTGCCCGGCCTGGCGCCCTGTTCCTGGGGTGTTCGTTGCTGGGTCAATGGCATCATCTCGTGCCCAGATTTGCAGCAAGAGCAAGTTGTGTAAAATGGTATAAAATGATTTTTTCCTTTGCTGTAGGTTCCATTTTGGGGAAATGACATCTGTGTAGTAAAATAACTTTTAAATGTTGCTGAGCTGCATCTCCCTTTATCCAGAAGCTTCTAGCCTGGGGGTGTGTGTGTGTGTATATATACATATTTATCCTATGCATATATTAGAGATTTTTATGCATAGCTTATAAGTGCCCAGGACTGACTAGAATTTTCCTCGGTGAAACATTATTACCTAAGAACACAATGAGCTTTTTTTTTTAAAAAAAAAAAAAAAAAAAAAAAAAGTTTCAATATAGACAAGAATGTAAAAAACTAATACATTAAAGCAGCTTTTGATAGCTCTAATTTGCTAAATGTAATTTTAGCCATTTTGCAGTTTTGGCATTTTCGAATTATCTTTTCTTTTTAAATATATCCTATTTATTTAAATTCAGTAAGAAAATAATTTATTCCAGTAAGCGTTAAAAGGTATTCCTGCATAAAGCATTTAAAATACATAGTCTCGAGCATAAAGCTGATTGACCACCAGGTGGTGCTAGTGGAATACATTTAATGTTGGCTTCACGTTCGTACTTACAAAATGAGTACACAAAGATTTACTTTCTCTGCGACAGGACTGTTAGTACAGTTAATAAAAATAAATTGAGTAATTGTGGAGTGGCTGTGCGCTCCAGAGAGGTTTGGGCACTTCCAGAAAGCTGCACATAGATCCTGAGCATAAACATTTAGTCTGTAGGATGGATAGCGCGGCAAGCAGACGGTATGTAGGCATATTCCCAAATTCTTTAGCAACGTTTTTGGTAATTCAGACAGCAGTTTCTGAAGCTTGTCAGTTCATATGTCATAAGCACTTTGCACATCATGTCTGCTGTTTCTGATTAATTATTTATCAAATACATATTGACTTCCAGTAGGAAAATGCGGCTTTTTTTTTAATATATATAGCTATTATGATTTTAGTCATCATTCCTGGGCTATGATTTTGGAATCATTCCTGCAAGTTGTAAAGAATGCCCAGAAATACGTATTTTCTATGGTTTTGGACTTTTAGTGCATTGTTTGGCTTAAAAAGTCAAATTAGAAACAAATTGTAATTGTAAAAATATAGAGATTTTTAGCTACAGTCTTTAAGAGTACTTGTCTTCCAGTTGGTAAGTGATCCCAAACCAATCTTTAGGAAGTCTTTCCTTTGATTATCTAGAAAATATATATATTTTTGTCTGTTTATTTTGGGTTTGTGGACTTTGTGTTTAAATACAAAGCAACTAAAACAACAGGGCTGAACAGCAGTGTGGACTGAAGTACTCCAGAGTCAGTGGCCCACTAATCTGAGGAGGTTGATTTTTGACCTAATGTGGTCTGAAATGAAATATGCAGATTCTTTGAAAACAGTGTTTTTCAACATAGATTTCGCATATGTTGTCCTATATAATATCTCCTTCTAAAGAATAATAGGATTAAAAAAAAAAAAGCTGTGTACCAAAGTGTGGCACACACAAACACAATTGCAATCAAAAATTCCCCAAACCTTTTTCTCTTGTTGTAATCCTAGTGCTGTGACCAAGATAGCATGTATTAGTATGTATATACTAGTCACATTAGTAACCACCTCACTGTAGCTAAAAACAACCTAACTAAAACAACATGACAAGCACTAATAGGTCTGTAAGCTCTCGCTTGGCTATGGCTGAAACTACCAGGGAAGGGTTTCTTTGAAATTTGTGGCCCTATGCATTTACTCTGGATAACAATTTTTATTTAATGTCAGGCTTTTAGTTTCTCAGTTAAGAACAGAAGTTGTAACCAGGCTCCTATGTGAGTGGAAATTCTTCTCCTTTTTCAAGTCCACTGTACGAAATAGTTCTCAGAACACATGCGTGAATACAAAACCTTCTCACGGTGCCTGTCAAATACCAGCGTGTGCTTCTCCTGAAAGCGCTCTTCGTATTTTGCTTTCTTGCTTAGAGACAGATATTTGTATGGATTTCTCCTTACCCTGTTCTGCTCTCCTCCCCCTCCCAATGTTGTGTTTAAATTTTCTTGAAAAAAAATCTCGAGAAAAGGAAATGTGCTCTTTTCAACTATTTTTTTTCCTCCTATTCTGAATTTAATTTTGCGGACTCATTTTAGCAAGGAACTTTCTTTCTTGCTGCACAGTTTACAGTTTGGCAGAGCGATTCACTTTGACTACCATAGAACTGTAGTATCGCATTCCTCTGACTTCTGAAAATTGTCTATATATCTTTAGTGAGAATCAGTAAAATGTTAAGTACCTTACGATTGATTCCCAGCCAAGTGGCTTTTTTTTTTTTAACTGTACAATGTACTGAAACGGATCAAGCAGCAAGTTGTGTGCAGTAATACATTTTATAGTGCAGCACTGTAAATGTGTGCAAAACACGGAATGTGCTTTTTGTAATGGAAGTGGAATATCCTCCGAAAATGTATTAAATTTAGAAATAGCCTTAAAGGTTAACTTTTGGTTTTGCTAGAATACAGCCATTGAAGAGAGGTTAGTTAAAAGCTGTTGGAAGTACGTGCTAATGTGTGTGGTTTTTTGGAAGCAATTTCTCTTTCACGAAGCAAGGGCGAGTTTGCCAGATGCTGCCTTTATAACGTGTGAACAGCTTCAGAAATACATTCTGCCGCATTGTTCTTTAAAGCACCAGCTCATCAGAAATAGCGTTTTGATGAGACTTCTGTCAGCGTCTTCATTTTTCAGCAGTTCTTTGCGATATTTCGGAATTGGTTTTGTCAGCGGCTCTCGGTGGTTGCCTGTCGTGGGGCTGTGCTCCGAGTGCCGCTTACCCTGCAGGAACGCCCGTAACGCGGCGTCTTGTAAAAAGATCACGAAATAGTTTCATTTCCCCGTGCCTCGCGCGGCGGGCTGGCCCACTCGCCTGTGTGATTTTTGCTCTGTTCAGCCCGCTGCGTGAACTGTTCTGCAGTTATGCTGGTACAAATGAGACCAGGATTTTATTCTCTGTATTTATCGAAAGACCCAGTCTGTTTGTAATAATGAAATGTTCACTAGAGATTCCAGTAACTATAAAATCTGACTTGTATTTACAGCACTTTACCAAATTCCTGTTTAGTTTGAATAGATAATAAAAATAACCATTTGTACAAAGCTTGCCACAGTCACAAATTCATCCTTGTTCTTTTTTATTTTTTTAAATCTTTGTATTTTACCTTATTTATTGTCAATACTGAATGGAAGTGTGTTTTATCTTGGAACTATTCTCGGCTTTTCCAAAGGGAGGGGCTTCTAAGTATCAGTTTCTTTATTCAATATTTTGATCTACTAAATATTCTTAAAAGGAAAACGCTCAGTCTCATTTAAGAACTTATAAAGGAAACATGATTGTATTGAAAGATCTGTTTTCTAAGGGCTGTGGTTACTTTGCTTGTGGAGAGCATAAGGTTATTCTAAGAGTGGAGCAGTAATAGTAAAAATATTTCTGAAATTGATAGCGTTTTTTTTTTCAGTGCAGTAGTTATATCAGGCCTTAATTTTCAACACGAAATTAAAGTTTTGTTAAAGTTATTGAAAGAGGAATGCTATTGATTTTAGCGGTGTCAAAATTTCACAGCTGAAAATTAATTTACCCCGTGAATATTTCATTGCAGCTTCCTCTTGAGTAGAACTAGAGCACTCGAGGGTTTTATTAATTATATGGTGTGATTTGAATTGGTGAGTTTATCATTATTACTGAATGAATTAGAGGTGTGCTGCAGATGCATAAACTGTAGTTTAATTTACTAAAGACATGCCATCTGTGTTTTTCCTTGTGGAGGGCAGGGAAATCGGAAAGAATACTGTATTAAGTGCTGCTTAGAAGGGAGCTGCAGTTCTGTGATTCAGTCTGCATAGAGCCGTTTTTCCTGAATATTTTAGGCGCTTTGCTTTAAATAAGCTATGTGCAAACCCACCCTTCTTCTCCCCCTCTCCCTGTACCCCCCACTGCAATGCAGGTTCATGTAAGAGTGTAACTGACGTTAGACTTTGCAATTTAGGTTTCTTTAATGAAGTTGTTAATTGGGTAACAGTGCTGTGCGTTTCTTTGTTTGTTTGTGCAAACAGTGTTTCCTGTTGATTGCTAGCAATGCTTGTTTCTCGTGCATAGTTTCTCCGTTATGGGATGAATCTGGTGTTTGATTTCATGGGCAGTGTGTGTTTATCATATGGCCAGAATTGAACAAGAGGAGATGTTGCAGGTCAGGGATAGATATTGGCATACATGGAGTTATTTACCCATGTCTGGCTATTTTACTTTTGTGTGTGTGTGTATATGTACACATTTTATTTCTTTTAAGCCTCAGATAATTTGTATTCTAACAAAGTATTTCAATGGTGGTATTCTCAGCTGTACATTTTTATTTTTTTGCTATTTTATTTTGTAGCATTGTCAGTGAAGCAGGCGCATCTATCTACAGTGTTAGTCCAGAAGCATCGAAGGAAATGCCAGACCTAGATCCTAATCTAAGAAGTGCAGGTATGAAGTATATTTTTTTATCACTGTTTCAGCATGAGACTTAATTCTCTATTCTCTGATTGTATTGTTTGTAATATTAAATACAATAAGGGTCAATGTATAAAGAGTGAAGGGTTTTTTTGCTTTGTTTCTGAACTTCAGTTTTTAAATAATTTTAACTTTATTCTTGCATCGTTTCACATTTGAAGTGCTAGGTCCTAGTGCTGTCCATTAACGACCACAGCTTCTATGATAACCTGTAATGTGAAAGTCTTTGTGGATGTATTTTTTCAATAGGTACACATGAACTTATGGGAATTAATATAGCCAATAAATTGCAAAAAATCTGTGGAAAATTTTACATCTCCATGCATATAAGAACTAGAATTTTCCTCCTCTTGTAAGTACACAGATGTCTCTAATAATCCTTAAACATTTAAAGGGCTAGGAGAACTATAAGATTAGAACAGATGTTCGTCATCATCTTGTAGGATGATGGCACTTTTGCTGTCCTTGTTGTTCACTTCTGAAATTTTTACATAGCTGAATTAGTCTTGGAGAAGTACTATTTAGGTCTAGTTTAAAAAGAAACAAACAAAAAACACTTTACCATAAATGTTACTGATGTGTAATATAGTCTATGTCTTCAGAGTACCCAAACGTAATCACTGTTGTAATTAAAATTTTCAGTGTTTGGTTAAAGAGTAGTTTTAAAGGTCAAACTCCTAACACTGGTGTCAAACTTCTGCTCGTGGAGTTGGTTTATTGGAAGACAGCGATAGGGGTAGATCTAAGGTTGCTTTGGATTATTTTCTTTGTGCATTACTTATTTGCAGCTCCTTTATGGTTGTGTTATCAACTTTTTAGTTCCTTGATTTTCCTGCAACTGCTGTTGCACTGAATCAAATAAAGTACATTTGAGAGTGCAGCAACGCTATCACAGTACAAATCTTTTCTAGGCAAAATGATAGCAATGTGCCCTTGTGGCCAAGAAGGCCAGTGGGATGCTGGCCTGCATTAGAAGGCAGCGGGTGGAAGGAGGTAATCATGTCCCTCCTCAGCGCTGGTGAGGCCGCACCTGGAGTATTGGGTGCAGTTCTGGGCTCCTCAGTACAAAGAGGGACGTGGAGCTTCTAGAGAGGGTCCAGCGGAGAGCCGCAAAGATGATTAAGGGACTGGAGGAACTATCTATGAGGAAAGACTAAGCGAGCTGGGCCTGTTTAGCCTGGAGAAGAGAAGATTGAGAGGGGAATCTTATCAACATGGACAAATACCTGAGGGGAGAATGCAGGGTGGATGGGGCCAAACTCTTCTCGGCGGTGGCCAGTGAGGGGAGAAGAGGTAATGGATGTAAGCTGAAACACAGAAGTTCCACCCTGGAACAGGCTGCGCAGAGAGGTCGTGGGGTCTCCTTCTCTGGAGATCTTCCAAACCCGCCTGGATGCCACCCTGTGCCACGTGCTCTAGGTGTCCCTGCTGGAGCAGGGGGGTTGGACTAGATGATCTCTAGAGGTCCCTGCCAACCTCAACTGTTCTCTGGTTCTGTGATAATATTCTTAGTCTTAAAGTTCTATTAGCAGTTTATGGGTTTGGAAATTCAGGAAGGTATAGAAATAGTTCATCAGAAAGCAGTTCTGAAGTTTTCTGGTGTTTGAGGGTAGAACTTCCCAGGGTTCCTCATATGATCCCTTTCCTCTTATTTTCTCAAAGTGGGGGAAAAAAAGGGTTTGCATTATTTTGATGTTTCAAGTGTATGTTTTTACAGGAGTAATATTTAAATGTCCATTTCAACCCGTCCCGGAACAGGCCTTAACTTTTTGTTTGAGCCTTTCCTTCCTGTCTGCCCACTTATTCCATGGTGATTACCTTTTTCTTGGGCCAAGGGGGTCTTGAATGTGTCATGGTGTGGCCAGAGTGATTATTAGACTTGGGGCATTTCTATATTTTTGATAGATGCCACTAACTTTTCCTTGGGCCAAGGTTCTTTTCATTTCTGTGTATTTTTCTGTTGCTTGCTAACGGTGTTTCTAGAGTTGATGTAAATAAAGAAAAAAAGGAAAAATAGTAATAAACAATATACTTTTTTTTAGATATATCTGATTCTTTACCCCTTTTCCAAACATGCCTACTTTTTCTTAACATTTTTGAAGTTGATTTCTGAAATATGTTTACTGCTGTGCATGAGATACAATAAACAAAAATCAAATTTGTAATATGTGAGTAATTTCAATATTTATTATCTAAAGTCCATCATGCATTTTTACTAGGAACTGCTTCAGGCATCGCTTACATGTGGCTGCATCTGGGTTGAAAAATGACAGCTCTTTTCACGTGCTTCAACAATACTGCAGAAGAGAGAGACATTGAAAAAACATAGAGCAGAAAGTGGAAAAAAATTCTTAGTCCCTTGAGTGTCGCCTTTTATGAAACTGACAACTATAAGTTTTTTTTTATTAAAATCCTTGGAATTTTTACACTTTTTTCAGTTTATAATTAGGCATGCTAAGGCTGTGCCTTTTTTTTTTTCTTTTTAGATGAAAGTGGAAATGTGGCATGATAGTATAGGGATGATTTGGTTTTTTTTGATTTATTCTTTTTTTTCTCCTCAAAATTTAGTTTTCAGCAAATATAAACGTGATTACGTGGTGTTAAAGCTGCCTTTTTTAAATTGTTTTGTTACACCATGTCAGGTTTTGTGCTTACATGATAGTGTTTAGTACATTAAAGGAAGCTGACAGCTGCATGATGAAGTGTGACATTTATAGTTAAAATAAAAGGTACAGCAGACGTGAGAGATCTGTGATCTTAACACAGTTTGCCACTTTAACATTTCTCTGAATACAAACTTGATAGAAGGGGTCTTTTTGTGGGGGAAGGGAGGAATTGCATAGGTAAACCTCTCTTTGCCCATCAGGTACATGAATGTAAGCTATTAAATAATGCATTTTAAATAAGAGATCACTTGAGCACATTTTGTCTTATCTCTCAGTTGTATTTATTTTTCTGTTTAGCAGCTGTTCTCAGTCAGTTCTCATTTGGATATAGAAATACAAGTTACTGATCTTGATAAAATATATAATCTTACTGATTGTTTCTTGGTAAGTATTCATATCGGGGGTGAAAACAGCAAACTTAGGCACTTCTGGGACATGTTAGTTAGGTGGACTAAGCCTAGAACATGATGGTTTTTCTTCAGCTGTTCTCTAAGATAATGGATATTGCACATTTGTAATAATTCATTGTGAAAAGTTGCATTTAAAAACTAATTGTGCTTATGTATATTATTGTAGAAGGTCTTTACAGTCATCAGAATAGCACTTTTCACCATTGTTGTACTTGAAAAAAAGGCTTGTTTCATTTGCTTTTCTCTGTGGTGCAGCACAAATGGGTTAGGCTCTCCCCAGCTTTAGAACCATCCTGTAGAGATGGCTCCCTTTCCTCTGTCAGCTTCTCAGCAATATCAGCTCCTGTGTCAATTTGCTGTGTTGAACCAGGTTCCCCAAAATGTTTATAGCACCAAATAGGAATATTTTATTAAAAGCAGAAGCTTCTATACTGCTATTTCAGTTTCTGTAAAATCTCGTCGAATTGAGTGCAGCTACCTGGATAGTGAAGAGCTTAAACACCAACTAATTGGATTTCATTAAGTGGTGCAAGAAGGTATGTATTTTATTCTGACAGTTGTTTTCGGATTAATGAACAGAACAACTATTCCTCAGCCTCACAAAATTAGAAGATAAGAGGCTTGTAGTCCAGCGCAATAAAAGGATTTCCTACTTGATAGGCTGAGGGAGTTTAGCTGCAGATTAGGAGGGTTCTCTCTAAAGAACAAGTTCAAGAACGAGGGGTTTTGGATAAATTAGTGTCAGAGTTTCAGCCTGAGAGGGAAAGGAAATAAAAGCTTTTTTGACCTCTCCTTTCCAAAAACCGATCCTAAGAAAAGGTTGGAGATTTGGGGTGGGGGTTGTATGGGAGAATGGAAACCGTAAAATGGGTGGATAGCAAGCTGCACGTGTTGGCTCATGGCTTATTAATTTGCCCATGTGAGCCTCTGCAACTTTGCCTGCTCTAGAATTTGTGGAATGGCAATGAGGGAACTGAATCACAAAATAGTTGAGGTTGGCCGGGACCTCTGGAGATCACCTAAACCAACACCCCTGCTCAAACAGGGTCAGCAAGTTTCCCAGGGCTGTGCCCAGCTGGGTTTTGAGGACATCTCCAGGAATAGAGCCTCCCACAACTGCTCTGCACAACTCGTTCCAGTGTTCAACCACCCTAATATGGAAAGTATTTTCTCGTGATCAGATGGAAAATGAGAGCCTGACTGTATTTCTACGTGTGTGTGGTGGTGTTTTTTTTTAGGGGGTGTTGTATGTGTTTTGTTTTCTTTCATTTTTTGTTTGTTTGTTTTCCCCTTTCCTTTTGCTCAGGCAGGTGCCCTCTGGGCATCTTATCAGACAGGTCATGTTTAGTTGCAGTGGAGTTTTTCTCAAAGCAATCAAATTCATTCTTAATTGGCTATCCTGTTCTTCAGATTTTGTTCAGAGCTGCCTTCACCATAGCCGTTTTCTGTTTGAGCTTTGGTGAGCTCTTCTTTGTGGCAGCTTTAAGATGGAGCTTTTCATTGCAACTTGTACATGAGATACATGTATCTTTGGGCTACTCTGGGTCCCTCTGTGGTGGAGATCTGCTTGTGGCTTTTTTAATGGAAGGACTGGATGCCAGTTTCCCTTTGAAGCAGCTGTAATCAACATGTTCAATAAACAATTACTACGCCTTGCCTGCTTACCAGTAACTCTCCTTGTCCTTAGATGGCCACATTTTGGTATCAGAATGGTTGAGGAGGCTGTATTTTGATGCAGTATTCTTTGTACGAGTGCGAAAAGAGCTGAAGTCAGTGGTGAGAATTCTTCCCTCCATCCTGGACTGTGTGACCCGCTTTTGGTTGTCTTACTTTTTTCTGGGCTTGTAAACTCTGGAATTAAACGATCTTCCAAAGTTTGATTATCTTGCCCATGTTA